TTCAGGCCCAATTGACCAACCGTGTCTCTAGCAGAGGATGTGGTCAACATAAGTTAAAGTTCATTGCTCCTGCCACCTAAATTAGCCGACTATTGAAGGTGGCAACCTGGGAAAGGAACCAAGCATTCTGAAGGAAGTAGGTCACAATATATGTGTGTGTGTGAGTGAGTGAGTGAGTGTTTTAAACTTGTTTACTTTCAAATCTTCAAACGCTGATAAATAGAATCATTAGAAACCTATGCCGCACTCTGAACTATTCATTTCAAAGTATCTGTTGAGGTAGAGGGGGCTGGGTTTATGGAATACAAGGGATACCATTCTCAGATCCATTATCATTATCTACCACCTCTTCCCTCTTGTCCCGACAGGCTATAGACATGTTCATGTCATCATGCACGGTGTTCGTGTTCATGTCCTTGATGGAGTACGCCATGGTAAACATCATCCTGGGAGACATGGTGGACCAGAAGCCGCATGATGACACATTCATAAGACGCATCTCCCGCAAGCTCACTCTCCGCAGACCAAGAGCTCAGGCCAACCGCAGGCGGGTGAGTGCCGCTCCATTAGGATTGGTAGTTGTTATTGTCATTATTATTATTATTATTATTATTAGTAGTAGTAGTAGTAGTAGTAGTAGTAGTAGGGGTAGTGGTGGCAGTAGCAGTAACAGTAGTAATACTATTAGATATTCTAGTATTTGCAGTAGTAGTAGTAGTAGTAGTAGTGTTAGTAGTAGCTGTAGTAGTTGTATAAGTAGTAGAAATAGTAGTAGTAGTTGTAGTAGTAGTAACAGTAGTATTTTCATGTGAAGTGCTGAATCTATAGGGATCACAGCTCTTGGAAAATGGGTGGCAGCAATCAGTTTTGAACCAGGAAAAGTTAAAGTGGCTCCAGTTCCTTGAAGCAAGAGCTCTTCACCAATCCAAGCTAACTTACCTTTTTCCCTTCTAGAACGCAGGAGACGTGACGCTACAGGAAGCTGAGAACGGAGGCTTCAGGGATCCCGAAGGAGAGCCCAGAATCATGCCTGCAGGCCCTTCCATACCACATGCCCACCACCAGCATCCTCATCATGTCGCAGGACCTGCATCTCCTCCGGCCATAGGCTTGGCCCCCGCCAAGTACGGTTCCACGCCCAACGTATCTCGCTCCATGGCCCTGGATATGAAGGAAGCCAGGGAGAAGGCCATCCTGGTAGACCGGTTCTCCAGGGTAGCTTTCCCGTTCAGCTTCACCATCCTCAACTTTCTCTACTGGGCTGTCTACTTCGAGTGGTAACTGCCTCGTATTCTGGGCGGCTTACATCGAGGCTGCCTATTTCGTGGCTATCTTCTCCAGGGCTACCTTCTTCGAGGCTGCCTACTTCGAGGCTGTCTACTTCGAGGCTACCTTCTTCGAGGCTTTCTACTTCGAGACTACCTTCTTCGAGGCTATCTACTTCGGGGCTACCTTCTTCAAGGCTCCTACTTCGAGACTACCTTCTTCGATACTGCCTACTTCGAATGATAACATCCTCGTCCATCGAACTTCTTACCTCTAGGTTACCTACTTCGAAAGGTTTCTGCCTCGTCTTCCGGACTACCTACTTTAAGTGGCAACTTCCTCATCTTCTGGACTATCTACTAAAAACAAAAAAAAGGTACCTGGCTAATACAATATCCGCATACCTTTCTGGAAATGAAAGCCTTGAGTCCATATTTTGGATCCATCTTTTCCTGTATGTCACGCACAGAAGCCAAATCTTTACCATCAGCGCCCTGTCTCTCATCGTCTCCAGAACTCTGAATCTCTCCACTATCACCTCTCATCCCTACACTGACCTCTGACAAGCTGGCTTCTTGTTAGCATCCTGTGGCAGTCAGTGTCTTTTTAGCCTGTCTTGGGTACCTGTGGTCAGTATATTGAACTGAGGACCCAAGAAAACATGTCTTGGGAGAAAGAAAATCATGGCAGTGAAATCATTCCCTAAACAAGTCTTGAAAGAATCGGTTCCAAGTGCACATGCCCTAAAGAAAGGCACCTTTTCCGAATGCCCGCCATTCCCCAAAGGCTCTGTTTGAGCCCATAATAAAGTAGTAATAACAATACTCAAATGATTCTTAAAAAAATAAATATTTCTGAGTGTGTTGCGCATCTTCTAAAAACAATCCATACTAACTGCACATTGTCCACATGCGTCTTAAGTATTAATAAAGTTGACTTTGGAAGCCTTGTCCACTGCTCGTACTTAATAACAGATGCTGAGGAGTGCTGTTAGACAGTGTCATGAAACTGACGCTATTTGCGAGTTAAAGTAAGTGATAATATTACTATAGGAAGAAAATGCTGTTGCTACCACTGAGAGGAAGGCCCATGACAGTTCCGTACAGCCTCAGTGACAGCCACAAAACTCACCCTCTCATATTTTATTGACTGTATTTTTTAATTTTATTCCATCTATGTCTCTCTCTCTCTCTCTCTCTCTCTCTCTCTCTCTCTCTCTCTCTCTCTCTCTCTCTCTCTCTCTCTCTCTCTCTCTCTCTCTCTCTCTCTCTCTCTCTCTCCTCTCTCCTCTCCTCTTTCTCTCTCTGTCTCTCTATCTATCTATCTATCTATCTTTATCTCTCTCTATCTATCTCTCTCTCTATCTATCTATCTCTCTATCTATCTATCTATTTATCTATCTATCTCTGTCTATCTATCTCTATCGCTATCGTCACACAATCGCAACTTTGCACGAGGAAAAGCAAAGTTGAAGCAGCGAAAGTTCAACCTTAGACAATCTTGTCACGTTTCAACTCATTCTCATTTCACAGCATTCTCTCTCACGTGAATCTCACCATCAGTCTCTAAACGTTTTCCCACAATTAGAAAAACTAAATCAGGCGAGAATGTGTTACATTTATAGACAATAAAAGGAAAGTTATCATAAGGAGAAGCAGTGAGTTCCACCAGGAAAAACTTATTCTTTCTGTGTCTCCTGAGAAACAATAAGAGAGGTGAACTAGCGTATGAACTACTGGAAATAAATGAGAATTAGTGAAAAGGCGATAGACACAAGTGTCATAACAGCGGTGATATCAGTGAGAAACATTACAGTGAAAGTGAAGATGCTATGAGGAGAGATTGAATTACATGGTTCTAGAGGTCATTGCAACTTCCTCATTTCTCTCAGTCCTGGCCTTCCTGGGTTGACTGCCAGAACTTCCCTCACAGAAGCTCTCACAAACACACGAGTGAGGAGATCTGAGACTGGGTACGGCATCAACCTCTGAAACTAAGAGAACAGTGTACTCGTCCCCCATAGCTGGGCTGAGGCTCTAGCATAAATGTTGATAATTAAAGCTTTTACGGGTATCGAAGGCTCTGTCCCTCCAGAAAAGACAGAGACAGGCTGCAGAACACACTTCTCACTGGAACAATGCTTTACTCTGCATAGAGCTTTTAAACCACATAGAGCTTAAAATTAAGTCCACATCTAGTCGCCTACTCCCACCTTCCATAATTACACATATACATGGGTAAGTAAAGTGTAATATAGCACACATATACATATTAAATGCATCTCTGTATGACTTGACAAAGCTCTACGCAGGGCGAAATGTTGCCCAATACAAGTCTGATCTACAGTCTTATGTCTCCGACCTCCTATTTATCGGCATTATATACAGTAACAAAGCACTCTCGTATTGCACAAGAAAGAAAAAACTCTTTCAGTTAATTTTCTTATACAACAAGCTTCACTGTGTAAACAAAATCACAGAAAATCTATACAAATTTTGTCATATTTTATTGTAAGCTTCGTAGAACGACAGTAAAAAGATTCAATAATAACAACATCACCCAATATATATATAAAATATATATATATATATATATATATATAATATATATATATATATATATATAATATATATATATATATAATATATATATAATTATGTCGTGCCGAATATGTAAAACTGGTCAATTAGCAAGAACTCATTAAAATTAAGTCCTTTCTGAAATTTTCTTTTATACGTTTAAAGATATATATTTTTCATCAATGTTAATGTAAAAAAATTTAATTTTGCACCAAAAGAATCTTAGAAAACTTACCTAACCTTATTATAACAAGAGCAATTTATTTAGCCTAAACCAACTAAATATATTTTAGATTTGTTTACCGTAATTTAATACTAAACAAACACAATGAAATATATTGTTTTCGTTAGGTTCAGAATGATTTTGGCGAAATTATTGCATACACAAATTTTCACTTGTCCTATATGGCAAGATGAACCTTGCTATTTAAGCCAAGATCGCAAGTTTCTGCCTATTCGGCACGACAAAATATATATATATATATATAAAATTTTATATATATATATATATATATATATAAAATATATAATATATAATATATATAATATATATATATAATATATATATATTATATAATTTATATAGGGCTTAAACCCATCCAGTTTGACCACAATGAGAATAATAATATCAAGTCTTTTGAGATTATATCTATCATATGATCAAAGAATACAATCACATTCCAGGTTAACATTCCATTAAGAATACAATCGCTCTTCATGGAGAACGAGCACTCTGTTAACAGGGAAATACTCTCTGTTAAAGGGTGCATACACTCTGTTAAGTCAAAACATTCCCAAGGAACACAGTGACTGGTCCACCCCGCAAGACCTCGAAGATATCTTCCCGTCACTGTGGCCAAACTGCATATTATTAGTCAAACAGATGTTTCATCTGCTTTTCCCTTTAGCGGCAAAAAAGAAAAGAAAACCTCCGGGACCATAGTCTGTGTGACCTAGACTCCTGACACCTATGGACAGTTTGTGTGTTCATGTATGGGCAGGTGTTCGTTATCACCTGCAGGAGCCAGCTGTGTCATTCATCCTAACCATCATCGCCCTATAGCCTCTCATTAACCCCCCGTAATTTGGCTCTTTATTACTAAATATCAACCATTATCATGCACAAATTGCTAGTCAAATAAGTAGCAATGATTTACATCTCTTAGTCTCGGGACTTGTAAATAAGTCACTTGTCAAGTAAATCATAACTTTAAAAGTTATTTTCGGTATAGCTATGAACTTTTTTGGCTGGTGTCTGTTGTAAAAGGCAACTGTCTGTGTGAAAAAACGAGGCTGTGTATGTTGTTAGTAATTGTAAACAGCTTTGTGAGTGTAAATAATTGAAAAAACAGGTGAATCTGGTAAATCAAAGTGTTGTAAACAGCTGTCTTGGTAAACAGGAAGTGTCTGTCTGCTGCAGACAGCGGGTGGTTGTTATGTGCTTATACCAGTGGGAGAAACGTCGAGCTTGGCAGTTTGAGAGAATGTTTACCCACTGTAACATAGTGACTGCTGACATCCACACTGTAACACAATGACTGCTGACATCCTCACTGTAACACAATGGCTGCTGACATCCACACTATAATACAATGACTGCTGACATCCTCACTCCGTAACACAGCTATGCCTGCTGACATCCACACTATAACACAATGACTGCTGAGGTTCACACTATAACACAATGACTGCTGACATCCACGCACTGTAACACAACTATGACTGCTGACATCCACACACTGTAGCACAACTATGACTGCTGACATCCACACACTGTAACACAATTATGACTGCTGACATCCACACACTGTAGCACAACTATGACTGCTGACATCCACACACTGTAACACAATTATGACTGCTGGCATCCACACACTGTAGCACAACAATGACTGCTGACATCCACGCACTGTAACACAGCTATGACTGCTGACATCCACACACTGTAGCACAACTATGACTGCTGACATCCACACACTGTAACACAATTATGACTGCTGACATCCACACACTGTAGCACAACTATGACTGCTGACATCCACACACTGTAACACAATTATGACTGCTGGCATCCACACACTGTAGCACAACAATGACTGCTGACATCCACGCACTGTAACACAGCTATGACTGCTGACATCCACACACTATAGCACAACTATGACTGCTGACATCCACACACTGTAGCACAACTATGACTGCTGACATCCACACACTGTAGCACAACTATGACTGCTGACATCCACACACTGTAGCACAACTATGACTGCTGACATCCACACACTGTAGCACAACAATGACTGCTGACATCCACACACTGTAACACAAATATAGGTGCTGACGTCCACACTGTGTAACACAGTCATAATTCCTGTCTTAGACAAATACTGTGCGAGGAGACGCTACAATTAGCGAAACTGTCTTCACAGAGAACAACATTTCGCTAAGTGTAGCGCTTTATTAAGTCTTAACTAAGTTATACACAGAGTGAAAAATGTATTGTCTGGGAGCTTGTCTGCGCCCTGTGTCTTTCTATCATTATTGACAGATGTCTGCTTTGCATGTCTGCGTTGTATGACTGCTTTGTATGTCTGCTTTGTATATCTGCGTTGTATGTCTGCGTTGTATGGCTGCGTTGTATGTCTGCTTTGTATATCTGCGTTGTATGTCTGCGTTGTATGGCTGCGTTGTATGTCTGCTTTGTATATCTGCGTTGTATGTCTGCGTTGTATGGCTGCGTTGTATGTCTTCGTTGTATGGCTGCGGGTGTATGTCTGCACGGGTGTGTGTTGTAAGTCTGCGGGTGTCTGCGTTGTATGTCTGCTGGTGTATGTCTGCAGATGTATGCGTCATATGTCTGCAGATGTATGCGTCATATGTCTGCAGATGTATGCGTCATATGTCTGCAGATGTCTGCTGGCGTATGTCTGCACATGTCTGCTGGTATATGTCTGCAGACATCTGCTGGTGTATGTCTGCAGATGTCTGCTGGTGTATGTCTGCAGATGTATGCGTCATATGTCTGCAGATGTATGCGTCATATATCTGCAGATGTCTGCTGGCGTATGTCTGCAGATGTCTGTTGGTATATATCTGCAGACATCTGCTTGTGTATGTCTGCAGATGTCTGCTGGTGTATGTCTGCAGTTGTCTGTTGGCGTATGTCTGCAGATGTCTGCTGGTATATGTCTGCAGATGTCTGCTGGTGTATGTCTGCAGATATCTTCTGGTGTATGTCTGCAGATGTCTGCTGGTGTATGTCTGCAGATGTCTGCTGGTATATGTCTGCAGATGTCTGCTGGTGTATGTATGCAGATGTCTGCTGGTGTATGTCTGCAGATATCTGCTGGTGTATGTATGCAGATGTCTGCTGGTGTTTGTCTGCAGATGTCTGCTGGTGTATGTCTGCAGATGTCTGCTGGTGTATGTATACAGATGTCTGCTGGTGCATGCCTGCAGATGTCTGCTGGTGTATGTATGCAGATATCTGCTGGTGTATGTCTGCAGATGTCTGCTGGTGTATGTCTGCAGATGTCTGCTGGTGTATGTATGCAGATGTCTGCTTCGCTGCTTCACTCATCACAAGGCATAATTTACATTATAAAATCTCAACAACTAATTATAAGTCTGACCAATCCGGTTTTTTATTTTACCT